GGGTTGGGGACACTTGGGGACATCGGGGGGACACGAACTGGGACAGGAACCGGGACAGGGACACCGGGGGGACATCGGGGGGACACAGACGGGGATGGGGACACCGTGGGGACACCGGGAGGACACAGATGGATGGGGACAGGGACGGGGACACCGTGGGGACACGATGGGGACACGAACTGGGATGGGGACAGAGACTGGGACACCGTGGGGACACAAACTGGGACGGGGACAAGGACCTCAACTAGAACTGGGGACACAAACTGGGATGGGGACACCGTGGGGACACCGTGGGGACACGAACTGGGACAGGGACACTGTGGGGACACAAACTGGGATGGGGACACCGTGGAGACACCGCGGGGACACCGTGGGGACATGAACTGGGATGGGGACACTGTGGGGACACAAACTGGGATGGGGACACCATGGGGACATCATGGGGACACCGTGGGGACATGAACTGGGACAGGGACACCGTGGGGACACCATGGGGACACGAAGTTCAGTTGGGACAGGGACACGATGGGGACACAAACTGGGATGGGGACAGGGACTGGGATGGGGACAGGGACAGGGACACTGTGGGGACACAAACTGGGATGGGGACACCGTGGGGACACCATGGGGACATGAACTGGGATGGGGACACTGTGGGGACACAAACTGGGATGGGGACACCATGGGGACACCATGGGGACACCATGGGGACACAAGGGGACACCGTGGGGACACTGTGGGGACACGAAGTTCAGTTGGGACAGGGACACGATGGGGACACGAACTGGGACTGGGACAGGGACTGGGATGGGGACACTGAGCTGAACTAGGATTGGGGACAAACGGGGACAGGGACACAGTGGGGACACGATGGGGACACACTGGGGACAAACTGGGACAGGGACAGGATGGGGACAAGAACGGGGACAGGGACACGATGGGGACACTGGGGACAAACTGGGACAGGATGGGGACACGAACTGGGATGGGGACACCGTGGGGACATCATGGGGACACTGTGGGGACAGGGACACGATGGGGACAAGGACACGATGAGGACACGAACCGGGACTGGGACAAGGAGGGGACCCTGGGCTGTCCCCAACTGTCCCCAAAGTATCCCCAAAAGTGTCTCCAAAGTGTCCCCAAGTGTCCCAAACTGTCCCCAAACTGTCCCAAAAGTGTCCCCAAAGTGTTCCCAAAAATGTCCCAAATTGTCCCCAAAGTGTCCCCAAAGTATCCCCAAACTCCCCAAAGTGTCCCAAACTGTCCCCAAACTGTCCTCAACTGTCCCCAACTATCCCAAACTGTCCCAAACTGTCCCCAAACTGTCCCAAACTGTCCCAAAGTGTCCCCAAAGTGTCCCCAACTGTCCCCAAAGTATCCCCAAATTGTCCCCAAGTGTCCCTGAAGTATCCCCAAACTGTCCCCAGTGTCCCCAACTGTCCCCAAAGTATCCCCGAATTGTCCCCAAGTGTCCCTGAAGTATCCTCAACTGTCCCCAAAGTGTCCCAAACTGTCCCCAAACTGTCCCCAGTGTCCCCAACTGTCCCTGAGGTGTCCCCAGGTGTCCCCGAGGTGTCCCCGAGGTGTCCCCAGGTGTCCCCGAGGTGTCCCCGAGGTGTCCCCGAGGTGTCCCCAGGTGTCCCCGAGGTGTCCCCAGGTGTCCCCAAGTGTCCCCGAGGTGTCCCCGAGGTGTCCCCAGGTGTCCCCGAGGTGTCCCCGAGGTGTCCCCGAGGTGTCCCCAGGTGTCCCCGAGGTGTCCCCAGGTGTCCCCAAGTGTCCCCGAG